TTTAAAGTTGACCAGAGAGAGACAGAGAAAGAATAGGAAAGTGAGAAAGCAAGATGCCAGGTACAGGACTCGAACTATGGTCAGCCATCTGGGAATCCAGCCGCTTTAACCACCACGCCATTTGCTGGGCCCTGTTTTATTTTTTTTAGAAGTATTTTTGCTATAGGGTACGTACGCTCACTGGAGAGGCAGAGAGAGAGAGAAAGTGAGAAATCACCCCCCACATACCCAGGAGGAATGGCCAGGCTGCAATCCCCTCTCCTCCATTCTCCTCCTGGGATTTCAGGCACGCACACACACATGCCCACATGTGAGTTTTTAAGTCGCCGGGGCTGGGACTCGAACCGCGGTCGACCACACGGGAGTCCAGTGACATAACCATTACCCCATCTGCTGATCCCTTAAATACTGAATTCAGAAAGCATCCCCAAGGAGAGCGACAGGAGCCCTTCCTGCAGCCCCACAGCGTCTCCCCCACCACCTCCTCCACTTCTCTTCCTGCTGGGACAACCCAGTGGGTTTTGTACCCCTCCTGCAGTAAGGGAAGCCTTGTAAGGGGACTCCCTGAGTAAACAGAAAGCTCCAGTAAGCACAATGTGAGTTCCAAGCTCTCCAGCGGTGGAGCCCAGATCTTCCCCACCCCAACACACTGGGCAAGAATTTCCAGCATGGGACTTGTAGGATTCCAGGGCCTACTAGCTTTGAAGAATCTGTGTTCAGGGACCAGCAGGTGGCATGGTGGTTAAGGCACTGGATTCCCACATGGCCGACTATGGTTTGAGCCCCAGAGCCAGTGGCTTGAAAATCACACTGGGTGTGCTCGCGCGTGCGCGTGCCCAAGTCTCAGGAAGACAATAGAGGAGAAGAGATTGTGGTGTGGCCCTCCCACAAGAGGGACATTTCTCACTTTCCCTCTCTCCATCTCCCTGCAGCAATCATGTGCCCTGTGGGGAAAAAACTAAAAATGAAAATAAAATAACAGAGTAGGTGTTTGGGGCCAGCAGGTGGCATGCTGCTGAAGGCATCGGATCCCAGTATGGCAACATTTTTTTTTTTTTTTAATATTGAGACCAGCAGCTGGCGTAATGGCAACATAGCTGGATTCTCATGTAGTCGACCGTGGTTCGAGTCCCGAACCTGGTAGCTTAAACTCACACAGGCATTTGTGTGCTCGGTGGGCCCAGGGAGGTGCCGGAACATCACCCCAAGACCATTCCTGTGTCAGTCTAGTATGGATCATTGTCACCACCTGATCCCAAACACTTCTTGTATCTTTTTTGGGGGGGAAGAGGTGTTTGCTATAGGGCACATGCACTCACCAGAAAGACAGAGAGAGACAGAGAGACAGAAAGCGAGAAATCACCTCCCAGGGGGGATGGCCACGCCACAATCCCTTCTCCTCCATTCTCCTCTTGGAATCTGGACACACACACGGATTTGCCCAGTGTGAATTTGAAGCCACCGGGTCCGGGACTTGAACCGTGGTCAGCCAAGTGGGAGTCCAGCGACGCCATCTGCTGGCCCCCAAATGACGTTTTCTAAGCCTTGAGTCCCTCATCCGTAAAACAGGGTGTGATAATATTTCCTGCATAAAGTCTAGGTCGGCATAAAATAAGTGATGTGTCTATGCCACTCTGTAATGCCCGCCATGTGACAAGTGCCCAGTACGCTACGGGTGTATTCCCACTGTCAGTGTCGCCGCTACCCCATCGATGGCTCTGTGGCCTTCCAGGTGACACGGCAGCCGGCCATCCTTCCCTGCTTCCCTGCAGCACCCAGATCAAGGCTTAGATTGTCCGGATGGGGTGTTATGGGGGGCAGGCAGGCAGCTCTTCCAAGAACTGGCCATTCGCTTGACAGGGTCACCCCTTCCCCTAGCTACGGCAGGCTTCTTACATCCTGGAACCTGGCTTGGGGAATGTCACCAAAGGAGTCACTTAAAGAAAGAGAATGAGACCTGGAGGCAGGTGTGGGAGCCTGGAGCAAGAATTCGGAATATCTCTTTCACCATTGAATAAGAAGGCAGCTGAGTCACTTGAGGGAAGAGCTTGGGGTTACTAAGGTGCAGGTGAGGCAAGGCGAGCATGGTACTATTTGTAAACGGATGATGCTTACGTAAGGTTGAAAGGCAGGGTTTCCGGTTGCCCTGCACAATAAAGCATCCCTTGGAAAAGAACAAGATGACAAGGATTCGAGTAATCTCCAGATAAGGGTGGGGGCTGCACCCACAGCCTAGTGAGGGAGGTGGTGAAACAGTGCGGAAAGACCGCCCCATCACACCGCCTCACTGACCTCCTCCTGCAATCTCAAGCCAAAAAGCAAGACAGGACCAGCAGGTGGCATGGCGGTGAAAGCACTGGATTCCCACATGGCTGACAGTGGTTCGAATCCCAGACCTGGATGGTCACGCCGGTCGCGCGTGCGTGCATGCCCAAAATCCACAGAGGAGAGTGGAGGAGGAGAGAATGAGGCATGGCCAACCCTCCTGGAGTGATTTCTCACTTTTCCTCTCACTGTCTGTTTGTCTGTCTGTCTCTCTCTCTGGTGAGCACATGTACCCTATGAGTGAAAAAATAAAATAAAATAAAATAAAACAAAAAGCAGGATGGCCTTCGGACCAGGGATTGCTGGCCTTGGGCTGAGGGATCAGGCGCCCATTATAGCAATCATTGCTTTCAGGACCAGCAGTTAGCGTAATGGCTATGTCACTGGACTCCCACGTAGTCGACCGCGGTTCGAGTCCCGGACCCGGTGGCTTAAAACACGCAGGGCGCGTGTGTGTGCGTGCCCAAGATCCCGAGAGGAGAATGGAGGAGAAGGGATTGCGGCGTGGCCATCCCCCTTGGGGGTGATTTCTCACTTTCTGTCTGTCTGTCTCTGTCTTTCTGGTGAGCGCACACGCCCTATAGCAAAAACCTCTCAAAAAATAAAAAAGTTTACACTACAAGCAGGCTTGGAATAGGAGCTCCTTCTATTTGCTTCTCTACAGCCCCAGTAGCCATTAGTCACCCTAGCAGGATGGGGAGGTGGGGCAAAGCCCTAAATAAGCTGGTACCAGGAATTCAGATGCTCACAGCTCCGACCTCCGGTTTTGTGGTTGAAAATGGGCAAAATATCACCATTTTTTCATGGACCATTGCAAAACGTAAATGGGGTGATGGAAACAATAACCACAGAGCAGTTCAGTGTCCAAAGTCCCAACCCAAGGCGCACCGAATCCTCATGACAGTAGTAATTACTCACACCTCCAAGGAGCTGCGGAAAGGGAAGTTCGGAGACAGAAAGTCAAGTGCTAAGGGGACGCAGAGTCAGGCTGGACCTTGGGTGCCACGAGTAGAAACGTAACCTCTCTTTACATCGCTTGGTTTTGCCTTTTATCAAGTCATTACGTATGAACATGCTTTGAGGATAACGCTTCCTCATACAAATGATCATTTTCTCTCTTTCTTTCTTTCTTTCTTTTTTTTTATTTTTTATTTTTATTGGGAGGTTTTTGCTATAGGGCACGTGCGCTCGCCAGACAAACAGAGACAGAGAGACAGAAAGCGAGAAATCACCCCCAGGGGGGATGGCCACGCCACAATCCGTTCTCCTCCATTCTCCTCTCGGGATCTTGGGCACGCACGCACACACGCCCGGCATGAGTTTAAGTCACCGGGTCCGGGACTCGAACTACGATCGACTATGTGGGAGTCCAGCGACATAGCCATTATGCCAACTGCTGGTCCCACAAATGATCATTTTCAATCAATTTTTTTTTTGAGGCGGTAAGTTTTTGCCATAGGGCATGTGCACTCGCCAGGGAGGAGAGAGACAGAGACAAGGAGAGGGAAAGTGAGAAACCAACCCCCCGGGGGGATGGGCATGCTGCAATCCCTTCTCCTCTATTCTCCTCCTGGGGTTTTGGGCACAGGTGCACACGTGCCTGGCATGAGTTTGAAGCAGCCGGATCCAGGACTAGAACCGTGGTTAGCCATGTGGGAGCCCAGCGCAGTAACCACCGTTCCAGCGGCTGGCCCTCAATCGTCATTTTTTATCATTGTGAAGACATGCGGTTTTGGAGGGTCCCCTTTACAGGCTAGACACTGGGCCGGACGCCTGCCAGACACAGTCAGATCTTCCTTCTTCCCATTAGAACAGCGAACGTTGGGGAGTTGGGTGGGGGGTGACCCCAGAGCACGGCAGACAGATCCCGACCACGAGAGCAAGCTCATCTCTGGCCCCCAGGTGGTGCTGGCCAGTGAAACTCCCACTCAACATCTCCCCTTTCACAAAGAGAGAATATGGGAGTCACCCAGTGCTGGATCCTACATGGCCAAATCTGCGGTTCGAGTCCCGGACCCAGCCATTGAAAAACACACCAGTCACGTGTGCGTACATGCCTAAATCCCAAGAAGAGAATAGAGGAGAAGAGGGTGCAGTGTGGACATCCACCCAAGAGAGGTGATTTCTCACTTTCCCTCTCTTTTTCTCTCTCTCTCACTCCAGTGTGTGTACATGCCCCCAAAAAATTATTAAAAAAGAAAAAAGAAAAAAACAGGGACCAGCAGTTGGCCTAATGGCTGTGTCACTGAACTCCCATGTAGTTGCCCGCAGTTCGAGTCCCGGACCCAGTGGCTTAAACTCACACCAGGCGCGTGTGCGTGCGTGCCCAAGTTCCCGAGAGGAGAATGGAGAAGGGATTGCGGCATGGCCATCCCCCCTGGGGGGTGATTTCTCACTTTTTGTCTGTCTGTCTCTCTCTGTCTTTCTGGCGGGTGCAAATGTCCTATAGCAAAAATCTCTCATAAAAAAAAAAAAAAAAAAAAAAAAGAACCTGTAGAATCTCTTAAAGAAAAACAAGGGACTTACCTTCCCCAAACACCAGTCCCCCCATGAGGGTAAAAAATAATACCAGGTATTCAACTTTTGAGTCCCAGAAGTACCCGTAGTTTCCAAGATCACAGCTGAGAAAATGTACTAGAGGCAAAATAAAACCAACCGTCAGTAATGATAATTACCTTGAGTGGGGATGATAACGCCGCGCCAAGGAGCTCGGGTACTGTAGCTGTACACGTGTGTATGTTAAAATGCCACGTGGGCTTTCACCACATCCCTGCAGGAGGAGGGAGGGGAGACACAATTACTACACGACACAGCGCACCCGAAGTTCGCTTCTGTTCTAAAACATTAAGTGAGAATTACAGACGGATGCTAGAACCTGGTGCCGGTTAAATCGCAATCAGTTTGGTCTGATGTGCGTAGGGCTTTTGAACCATCTGAGCTGACATGTAAAATTCAAGAATTAAAAATAAACATTTTTATTCTTTTCTTTTTTTGGGGGGAGAGGTTTTTGCTATAGGGCGCGTGTGCTTGCCAGAAAGACAGAGAGAGACAGAGAGACAGAAAGCGAGAAATCACCCCCCAGGGGGGATGGCCACGCCACAATCCCTTCTTCTCCATTCTCCTCTCAGGATCTTGGGCATGCACGCACACGCACCCGGCATGAGTTTAAGTCACCGGGTCCAGGCCTTGAACCGTGGTTGACTACATGGGAGTCCAGCGACATAGGCATTACACTAACTGCTGGCCCCCTGGGCCCGTGGGATTTCAAAGGGCAGGTTGTGACCCACTAGTGCAAGACTTCCCACCACAGGCTCTGCCCGGAAATTCTTTGAGAAAGCTTTTTATCTTTGTTGTGTTTTATTTTCTTTTGCTAGAGGGCGCTTGCAGGAAAGAGGGAAAATGAGAACTCTCCCCTCAGGGGGGATGGACACACTCCAATCCCTTCTCCTCTGGTTTCCTCTCAGGACTTTCTGGAGATGGGGGCACACACACACACACAAACACCCTCTGGCATATTTTCCAAGCCACCAGGTGTAAAATTCGAACCACACAGGCAGCCATGTAGTATCCAGCCACCTTAGCTACCGCACTACTTGCTGGAGAGACAGAGAGACAGAAAGTGAGAAATCACCCCCCCTCAGGGGGGATGGCCACACTGCAATCCCTTCTCCTCCATTCTCCTCTTGGGATCTTGGGCACGCACGCACACGCACCCGGTGTGAGTTCAAGCCACCGGGCCTAGGACGCGAACCGCGGTTGACTACGTGGGAGTCCAGCAACATAGCCATTATGCTAACTGCTGGTCCCCCAAGGAGGATTTAAAGCATGTTCTCCCGTCATCCAGACCAACACATTGGGAGCTCCAAAGTCGCAGTCCTGGCCCTGGTACTGATCCCACTGTTCAAGATATTTTACCGAAGTGGAGCAGACACACAGCGAAGTAACAAACCTAAAGGAACATCATCACCAGCACCCCAGACCCTCCCTCTGGGACCCTTCTCAGTCACCCCCTCCCTCACCTCGCCTACCCTAACTTTATTTCTTTCGTTTATGCCATAGGGCACAAGGGCTCACTAGAGAGGAAAGAGAGACAGAGAAAGGGAGAGAGAAATCACCCCCCAGGGGGGATGGCCACACCACAATCCCTTCTCCTCCATTCTCCTCTTGGGACTTTGGGCACACATGCACATATGCCTGGGGTGATTTTCAAGCCACTGAGTCTGGGACTCGAACCCAGTACCCAGTGACTTAAAAGCTACGAGACTTGTTAGCCATGTGGGAATCCAGCCATGGCACCTGCTGGCCCCACTACCCACTTTTTTTTTTTTTTTTAGAGAGAGAGATTTTTGCTACAGGGTGTGGGTGCTTGCCAGAGAGACAGGGAGAGACAGAGAGACACAGAGAGATAGAAAGTGAGGAATCACCCCGGGAGGATGGCCACACTGCAATCCCTTCTCCATTCTCCTGTTGGGATCTTGGGCACACATGCACACGCACCTGGTATGTTTTAAGCTGCTGGGTCCAGGATTTGAACTGCAGTCAACTACATAGGAGCCCATATAACATTAACTATTATGCCCAATCTGCTGGTCCCATGCCCTAACTTTTAATACCACGGGTGGATGTTGCTTGTTCTAAGCTTTACATACATAAAATCGTACTGAGTGCATTTCTTTCTTTTTATCTTTGTTTAGGTTTTTGCCATTTTAAGGCATGTGCACTCACTGGAGAGAGACAGAGAGACAGAGAGACAGAAAGCGAGAAACACACCTGCTGGCCCTGCAGTGCATCTTTTATCTGTTAGCCCCTCTGGTGGGTGTGTAGAGGTGCTTTACTGTTGGTTTGTTTCTGAGAGATTTTTGCTATTAGGGGGCATAAGCTAGAGGGAAAGACACAGAGAGACAGAGACAGAAAACGAGAAATCACCCTCCGGGGGGATGGCCGCGCCACAATCCCTTCTCCTCCATTCTCCTCTAGGGATCTTGGGCACGCACGCACACGCGCCCGGCGTGAGTTTAAGCCACCGGGTCCGGGACTCAAACCGCAGTCGGCTACATGGGAGTTCAGCGACATAGCCATTATGCCAACTGCTTGTCCTTCTTCCACTCTCCTCTCAGGACTTTGGACACACATGCATACATGCACAGTGTGATTTTTTCAAGTGGCCAGGTCTGGGACTCAAATCACGGAGTTGGTCTTGTGGGATCCAGCACCTCTATCCTCCACGTCACCTGCTGCCCCATGACCGGAAACTTCAAGGCACAGAATGGGATATAAATGCAAGTATCAATATGCATCAGATATTGTGTTGTGAAACTAATGTATCAGGCAATTGTGTGTGTGTGCACACACGAGCTCATGTGCATGTAACAATTGGAAGTTGAGAATTGCAAAGGATTGGGGACCAGCAGTTGGCGTAATGACTATGTCGCTGGACTCCCACGTAGTCGACTGCGGTTCGCATCCTGGACCCGGTGGCTTAAACTCACGCCGGGCACGTGTGCGTGCGTGCCCAAGATCCCGAGAGGAGAATGGAGGAGAAGGGATTGCAGCGTGGCCATCCCCCCGGGGGGTGATTTCTCGCTTTCTGTCTCTCTGTCTCTCTGGCAAGCGCACGCGCCCTATAGAAAAAACCTCTCCAAAAAAAAAAAAAAAAGAATTGCAAAGGATTGTGTGTTATCAGTACTGGCCAGGAAAGTCTGAAAACCACGCTATATTGTAATCTATGAAACGGTCGCTTAGGAAAATCCAACTTTGCGCCCTTTTTTTTTTTTTTACAGTCATCACGGGAAAGTTCTGGAGTTTCTGTCTTACACAATTAGTCACAGACCAGAAGTCCACGTGAAGCGAACCTCTGTGGGAAACAAGCCAGGGCAACCCAGTGAAGGCTAATGGGATTTGAGGTGCCCGGTCCAACCAGGACCCTGCAACAGGGACTTCAAGTGGGATACAGTTAATGACGCCGAGATGTGAACGTGACCAAGGAAGAGTCTCATCGTGCAATGTGAGATTGGTTTAGCATCAGCAAATTGTGTGTGTGTATATATGTATACATATATTTTTTTTTTGAGAGGTTTTCGCTATAGGGCACGTGCCGTCGCCAGAAAGACAGAGACAGACAGAGAGATAGAAAGCAAGAAATCACCCCCCAGGGGGGATGGCCACACCGCACTCTCCTCCATTCTCCTCTCGGGATCTTGGGCACGCACGCACATGCGCCTGGCGTGAGTTTAAGCCACCGGGTCCGGGACGTGAATCGCGGTCGACTACGTGGGAGTCCAGCGACAGAGCCATTACGCTAACTGCTGGTCCCAAGGTGGGCATTTTTCGACAGGATCATTCCATGTTGGGGTCCTCTGGCCCATCCTCCTGGATTACAGGTGGGATTACCAGTGCATACCGCTGTGCCTGGCCTGTGTAGCCTGGTCCAGGAACTGAACTGAACCTGGGCATCCTGTGTGGCCCCAGCCTTGTGCAGAGGTGCCCTAACACCTGCACCACTGCGACTGAGCCTCCGGGTCAGTCTTTGTGCCAGGACTCCTAAATCCACAGCATGGAGCCAAGGCTCTTGCATAGATGACCTGGGGCCCAAGATTGATACGCAGTTGCAACATTGCACTTTGTGTTTCCTGAGAGCAGTGGGCAGCTCTGGAACCGCGGAGTACCATCCTCCCACGACCTCTCTGACAGCTATCGGGAGTGCTTCTGCTGAGGCGTTGGGGACCAGAGAGAAGTGTGTGCAGGCGCGTGTGCGGGTGTGCGTGCCTGGCCACCAGCATGGCCTTCCTCACCTACCACTCTGCATAATCAGCATGACAAATGAACTTATTTTTCTTTTTTTTTTCCTCCTAAGAATTAGTTTATTACTAGTTATTTTTATCCACCCTCCTTTTTTTTTTGGAGAGGATTTTGCTATA